TGTTCAGCTGATTTTTGTGAATCAACATTGAATGTTTGTTAAGTCTTTGGTTAATTCCCAGAGTGCTTCAGTTTAATGGAAAAACACTATCCTCTCTCCCCACCAAGAAAAGACCAAATGAACAAATAAAAACCAATAATTCACAGGAGACCTATAACATTTAATAGCGTCAAATTTGAAGGAAAACAACCAGCTTTCTGAAAGATGTTTTCTTAGTTCTTTGTCTAATTTGGTCTTTTCTAAATACATTTTTCTTCTGTAGAGACTGGATTTTTGAAACAACTAAGGCCTGCTATATTTTTAAACATTCTTCCTTTTTTCCTTTTGTTTGCATTTTACTGTAATTAGTAATAAGAAACTAATGAGTAGCTTTCATATTTTGAAAATTTCCTAGGAGGATCACCCAATCAACCACATTTTCTACTTTTCAAATTACTACATAAAACAATGTTGTAAAACTTCTGCCATCATGTAATCATTATGTATTTTCCCCTCCAGTTTCTAATATTTTCCTACCAGTTTTCCCTCTGCAGCTTTCTTAAAGAGTTATGAGTTTTCTGTTTACAGCTTTCTCAAGTTACTTTAGGCTTCATTAATGCTATTCCCAGAGCCCACTGCAAGGTTCAAACCACACCTGCATTTGAGGTTTTTATTACATCACCTTCACACAAACTTGTGTCAAAATCTGTTTTATTTACTTACTGCTATGTTATAAATTACCTCTAAAATTTAGCAGTTCACAACAAACATTTATTATCTTGCATTTTCTCTGAGTCACAATTCATATAGATGGCTTTGGTTCCTTTCCTCACAAGGAAGATTGCAGTCCAGGGATTAGCTGAGATTTGAATCTACTTCCAAGTATACACTTACAGCTCTCCTGGTTTGGCCGCTGTCAGGAGGCTTCAGTACCTAAGTGAACCTGCCTCCAGGTCTCCTCACAGTTAATGGCTTCCTCAAGTGAATAGGAAGGGAGATGCAGGGACAGGAGAGTAAGGGGAGAAAAAGAAATTATGAGAAAGGGTTGGGCGACAGAATATAAATGACTAAGAGTACTAGTGTTCAGGAGTATCTATGATGGGAATCTCAATCACTTTATCTAGTTTCTAAAAGTAACATATACTTTCACAGTATATCATCCATGGTAGTTAACAGGGAATGGACTGCACACTTGTCTCATACTAGGAGACACAGGAGTTACTGAAGGCCATCCTGAAACTGGCTGTGACACTAATTAAACTTTTTAAATAAGTTGACTTTGAAAAAGAAAAAATAGGCAAAAATAAGTAAATCTGTCTTCTTGGGGACAGTGACCCACTTCCACATGGCAACATTCTTTCCTTCCTAGACAAATCATATTTTTCCCTCCATTTCCATGGTCATTACTTCCTAAACACCCACTTGCACACCTGCCCAGGTAATAAAATCTGTGGCTGCTGTCAGGTCCCTTATATAAAATGGTAAGTATCTGAATAACCACATCCTCCCTTTATGCTACTTGTCCAGCCTTATAAAATTTAAAAATATTTACCTATATCATTTTTAACCTAATCTTTTTATAACCTGAATTTTATGACCTACAGTTTTCATTTGCTTTTATTATAGTTATGACAGTTTTTACAAGTAATCTCTGAGGCTTACTAACTAATCAGGGTGAGCAGCATTGTCTTTGTCTCCTTTTTCTTTTTCTTCTTAAAATTCCAAAATATAGCATCAAGGGGACCAACAGTGAATAGGTGACTCGAACAGAGCTTAACATAGCTTTACACTCAATCTTAAACTGTAGCTCTAGCCATAAGATGATTAATAATATTTGATCATATCTGTGTTCTTTATCTGGCAAATTCAGTCATTTTTAACTAATGAAATACTATTAGTCAAAAATGGCAGGACAGTTAACCAAAATACCTAGAAGTAAAGCCATTATTTCTTTTAAACACATAATTCATAGTAAGATTAAGTTGAAAAGAGATGAAAAAAAATATTGATAGAAGCTTTTGAAGATTCCTGAGAGTAAGAAATAATATACAAGGTCTGATCAAAAATATGGTGTTTACTTTTTTTAATTATTATAGTAAAAGACATATTGCCATTAATCACCCTCAGATTATTCTCCCTCGCTTCAAACACACTTTTCCTATAGTCCTTTACACTTTCTGGAGCAGTTCTGGAAGTCCTCTTTTGAGAATGTCTTTAGGAGATATGATCAAAAATATGGTGAATGTTTTTTTGGGTTGTTTTTTTTTTGGTACTGGGGATCGAACTCGGGTCCTTGCACTTGCAGGGCAGGCGCCAGAACCACTGATCTAAATCCCTGGCCCAGTAATTTTGTTTGATTGTTTTTTGGTACCGGGGATTGAACTCGGGACCTTGCGCTTGTGCAGCAGGCTCCTGAGCCACTGAGCTAAATCCCTGCCCCTAAAAATATGGTGAATGTTGTGTCAAGTGCTATCCAATAGACTTGTAAAAACATGGTGTCTCATCATCTACCTTATCACTTCTGGCACCATATAACTTCTGGCTCTTCCCCAAAATCAAAAGGACCTTGAAAGATGAACATTTTGATTGATTCAGGACATTAGAATTGCCAGGACACTGCAGCTAAAGACATTCACTAAAAGGATTTCTAGGACTGCTTCATGAAGTCACAGGAACAATGTTCAAATGAGTATTTTGAGGGGTATTAATGGCAGCACATTTTTTATGATAATAACTTTTTAAATTTATAGATCGTATTTTTATATCATACCTCATATATTTCCATGTATACAACATGGAAACTTATTTTAGTATTTTCACTTTAGTTAGAGTGCTACAATAATACTGTTTATTCTGAGCCCCCCCCAGAATTCACAGTGGCTTACAGGTTATGATTCGGGGTTTTTTTGTTTTTTTTTTTTTGTACTGGGGATCGAACTCTGGACCTTGGGCTTGCAAGGCAGGCGATAGCACCATTGAGCTAAATCCCCAGCCCCTAGGTTATGATTCTTGTATTTTCCATTATCGATGTAGTTAATACTTATTTGCCATTTTGTGATTCTAATAAAATATAACTATTCAGTCTGCATATTTTTGCTTCTCTTATTATTTCCACTATACCCTCTGATAACAGCTAACATTTACTGAAGTGTTAATATGTTGAGAATAGAATTCAGTGTTTTAAGCTGCAATCTTTTATAATCCTTATAGCATCCTATAAATAAGCTTTCCTACATTTTCTCAAATTGTTTTTACATTAATGAGTGAGGATATGTACATAGATAGCCTAAGGTTTTAAAGGTGGCTAAGATTCCAACCTGTAGCTAAGTCTTTTAGTCCAGTACCCAAAAGAAGCAATGTTCTTATTCCCAGCCAGGTTCTAAGCAAAGAATAAAAGTGAAGGCTAAAAGGTTATTTTTCTTATAGACCTATAGTCCCTTTTCTCTGATGTTTATCAAGAGTGAAACTTGTTTTGACAGAGGTAATATGTTTATTATGCAGTATCTAAAGCATGTCTGAGACAATGATCTATGATCAGGTTTACTGACAGTTATACAAAACCAGTGTATACTGGCTAGGTCACTTTTTCCTACCAAATGTCGAGGTGGTCGTGCAGAGAGTAGATTTGTGTTGTTCCTCTTCTCTAAATGGTGCATTTCCAATCCCTTCTTGCTTTTAGAGTCATGTATATGTAATGGTAGATGCTAGTTGGGAAGACTTCCCCTCAGATCATTTAATTAGTGTATTTACACTAAAACTAATACCAAAGCTACGGAGAGTTATTTCTTCAACTTCTGACAGCCCTGGATCAGAGCAAGCTCATTTATATAAATACTGGTCTACCTGGGTAAGAGTTTAGTTATTTAAGGTACAGAGAACTAGTATCTCTAGAAGTAGACCTGTTGCTATAGGGAAGAAATGGGAAGCCTAATCAAGTATGCCTAGTTAACCCTTCTCAATTTACCAATGACTCTACCTCCAAAGGTTAGAGTAAATAAAGGAATTGAGGCCAGAAATATGCATAATAAAGCCACACCCCAAACAAAACTCTGTATCACAATTAAACCCCATATTTATAAATGATCTCTCACCCCACATCTCATACAATAAAATGATTCAATTACTCTTACCTATTGCACAAGTTTTAGGCAGAATTATATACACCATTGCCCAGTTTCATTTTAGTTGTGGCTGATCAACATTTTTTGGGACTGAGGGTTAAGACTCCCAGTCATAATGACTCAATTTTACAGGAAAATATTAGGACATACATGCTGAAATACTAGTGAAGTCTCCTAATTGTATAGTTTACTTTCAGTGGCTCTACAAATTAATAAATAAAGAATGGAAATGTGGCAGAATATTAACAATTTTTAAGTCTTGATGGAGGCTGTGTGATTGTGCTATTGAACTTTTTATGATCAAAATTTTTCTTTTTAAAAAATTGAGAAAAGAAAAATCCTTGATGACATTCAGGATATATATGAAAGGCACATTTCACATAATTGAAGAATTTAATTGATACCAAGTTATAACAGTTAAGATGTTTTCCTAGTCAGTGCATGTACTTTGTATATTTAGTTTAAAATTATGTGGTGGGCTAGGGATGTAACTCAGTGGTAAAGTGCTTGCCTAGCATGCACAAGGCCCTGGGTTCAATCCCCAGCACTGGAAAATACGGAGGCATGAGGGGATATATATATAAAATCTTTACATGCTAAATGTTTTAATATTTAGTAGAATAAATTTGAATATTAAAATTCTGAAAATAAGTTGTTTCTATATCTGATTTTTTAAAATCTAGTTCAGTTTGGGACAGAGACTATTTGCAAGAAATGAGTAGATATGCCATGTTTTGGGGACATATGTAATCATAATGTATAAAGTTTCTATTGCTAAGTCCCAAAAACCATTGGCAGTTGTGGACTGATGCTAAAAGACTTCTAATATTATTCATAACTTTTTAAAAGTGTAATGGTATTTTTCTTTTTTAGTGATTATTATATTTATTTCTTCCCTAGATCTTCCTCAGAACTGTGATCCTAATATTCCCCTAGTTGCTCAGGAATTAATGAAAAAGATGATACGCCAGTTTGCAATTGAGTACATTTCAAAAAGTGGTAAAATTCAAGACAATAGAAATGGTTCAATTGGACCAAGTCTCATATGTAAAAGTATTCAAATGAATCAAGCAGAAAGCTCCCTTCAGGAAGAGCAGGAAGGCCCCTTAGACCTCACTGTGAATCGAATGCAAGAACAAAATACTCAGCAAGGTAAGATATTTTTGTGTGTGTAATATATAACTTTATGTTTTAATATGCTTAAACATATATATGTTGTATTCTTGGGGAAACGTAAAGTAATATTGTTTTAATTTGCTTATGTAATATGGACTAGAGAAAAAGCAAGTTTAGAATTTGTATTGCATTTTTAATTATTTCTAAAAGAAAATTTGAGTTGCTCTCATCTTTCACTAAATATGGTATAAGTAAAAAGATGTTTATGAGAGAATTATTTCTTACAGTGAACAGATGAAAACATTAAGCCCTTGCCGTTCAGTTTTTTTGTACATAGATAAGAAAAAAAATGATTTATCTTCTAGTTATTTGTGATATAACTGGAAAAAGAGTATTTGTAAGTGTGATAAGTATAATGCAATCATAATTAATTATACAGAAGCATTTTTAAGAAGAAGCTTGAATGATGATAAAGGTTATGTTGGAGTTGAATGATAGAGGCAATGTTGGGCTTATGTAAGAGTTTAATTGAAGGAGAACTATGACTTAACAGAAGGAAAGCAAAAAGTATTTTTAAAGGCAGGAAAAACCTTTTAAGTGTGTGGGGAGATCTTTATTTTCACAAAAAAATAAATATATCTGTAGAGATGAAAGAACAAGTAGTCAAGGATTGTGGCAAGTCTTCGAAGTTGTAAAAAACTAGTGTTAGATTTGATCCTAGAGCCAGGGTAGTGGTATATGCCTATAATCCCAGGACTACAAGAGGCTGTGGCAGGGGAATTGCAAGTTTGAGCCCAGCTTAGGCAATTTAGAGACTAAGCAAGACCCTGTCTCTAAATAGAAAATAAAGAGGGGTGGGGCTGTATTTAGTATAAAGACCCTAAATTCAATCCCCAGTACCACCACCAAAAAAAGAGAACTCATTCTAGAAGGTGGTGTAAGTTCTATTAGTATACCAGTCAGGGTTTAAAGATGATGCTCTGTTCAGTGTGTAAGACAAATAAAAATGGAGAGGGTCTGACATGTGGAAATAATCTGCCTTTTTTCTTAATTTTAGATTATATAAGTTTATGTGGAAATGTCTAAGTATTAAGATAATAATTAGATTGAAAAACAGAAATGTGAAAGATAACTATCTTATAGGATTTAAGGAAAGAAAATATCAGTACACAGAATTTTGGATATTGGAAAGCAGAGGATTTTTAAACCTTTTATTTGCTCTCCATGCTTTATACCCACTTATCTTTCCTCTTTTAGGGAAGTGGTATAGAGTTCTAAAGTGACTACATGTATGAAGTACATGTACCCACTCTGAGATAAATGTAAAATGTATGTACTGGATACATGTACTAATGAAAATAAAAGAGTGACTAGAACATAAGCTTTGGTATGTGACAAACTTGTATGAAAATCTCAGTTCTACTACTTAAGCTCCTTTTACAAGTAACTGCTTATCGGAGCTTCAATTTTCTTATTGTTTGGCCAAAATAATAATGAACTCATTGGAAAAACATGAGAATTAAATATAAATTAGCAAACTCATTAAAGATACTAAAACTCATAGTTCATATTCTCCACTTCCCATTCTTTAACACCACAGAAGAAAGCCTTATAAGTAAAATGATAGGGAATTATAAATATTTGTATAGTTATTACACTACAGTAGAACTGAACATTTTCTGAACAGTCCAGTGAATAGAATTCAGTAGCTAAAAGTTAGAGAAAAATAGATTTCAGATCAATATAAGAACAAATATTTCCAAGGCTCAAATATTTCTTAAAAATGGAAAGGGGGAATAATTCCTTGGTTGCCTCATTATTAGAACTATTCCAAAGCATTTGCTAAGTGCTTAGGAGAGATGACATTTTAAAATAAATTTCATCCCTTAGATTCTGTGGTTCTCTGAAATTAAGTGGTATGATGGATTCAAGTGTACAAAGTATTTAAATTATTATAATCTAGGCAAAGTCCATAAGCGAATATCCTGAGGTTGGAAAGAGTAATGATAGTTGTAGTAGTCTTCTTGATAATTTCAATATTTGTGGTGAATTGTCATATATGGTTTCAGTGGTTTTTAGGGTAGAAATCATTTGGTATAATATGATTTGTGGTATAGAGAACAAGGGAAAAATGGTGATAGGTGAAGCTAAACAATAGATGGGGACCAGATTATGAGAAAAACATGAAATGTTGAGGATTTTTACTTTCTTGGGGGCCACAAGAAACTGCTAGGCCCCCTTGGAATAGAGTGACAAGATGTGATTTAGTTCATAAAACCATTCTACTATGGTATAAATCGATAGTTTCACGGATTAGCTTACCCAAAAAAAAGTAAACAACATACTTTTTAATGTGTTTGTGTGTGTGTATGTGTGAACCCACTGTGTATGATTATTCTACAAATTAAAATTTTCAAGCTTCAGATAAAGATACTATAAGCAATTCTTGAAAGTCTTGCTAATCGTGATGACCTCACTGCTATTCTTATTGCACAGTACTGTACACACTTTGGAAATTTTTCATTAGCAATGATACAATGTGTAAATCCATATTTTAAATATGTTCCTTAAGAGTTAAAATTTTTTCTGGCCCGATTTTACTATTCCTAACTTAAAGTTAATAAAGGTCTTAGTAGTAATAATAGTAGCAGTAGTAGTAGCACTTCTGACTTTTTTTGTTGTGGTTATTTGCTAGTACTTAGCACTTTTCATGTCATTCTTTCTCTATAATTTTTTAACAATACTCATTTAGGCCAGTTTTACATTTTGTCAGTTACTTAATACAAATTAGATAGTAATCTGTAAGTCCAGTGAGTAATCTAATGGTCCATTTGGTGCTGTTATAACTGAATACCTGAGAATGGATAATTTGTTAAAAAATAGAGATTTATTTTTTACAACCCTAGGGCCTGAAGAGTCCAAAGATCTGAGGTCTTTGTCTACAAGGCTGTTCTTGCTGTGCCAGCTCATGGCTTCAAGGGAGGTAGAGCAAAGAGCTCATCCTGTATCAGGGGCCCACTCCTGGCAGCCCTCGTGCCTTCATTGCCTCTTAATGGAGAAAGGAATATGTATTTCAATACATACACCTTAGGAGACACACTCAGACCATGAATAATATATCTCATCTGTGTATCTATACCTATAAACTCTAAAATCCCATCCCAAATAGTTTTAACTTGATGAAACTTTAAGCAACAGATAATTTCTATCTCATACAAACTATTTCAGAGAATTAGAAATACAGAAAGGTTAGTAAAATCTTGATACTAACAATAGACAATGATAGCAAAAGAAAAGAAAATTACAAACTACAAGCCTAGGCTCTGATTCTTAAATAAGTATCAACAAATTGACTATAGTGAAATATAAAAACATGATAAATAATGACTAGAAGGATGTGGATGATTAAGCTTTTGAAAAACTTTCATGATTTTCCAAATTAAATTATAGAATCCTTAATAATTACAGAAAAAAATCATCCTGTAAAAGCTGGCACATTTATGATTGTTTTCACATTAAGTTTATTGGTACATTTTAGGTATACAATACAGTTACATTCATCATTGGGAACTTGTACCTTTACATGATGCATCTTGGTTCTTATTTTCTCCCCATTCCCCTCCCCTCCCTTCTCCTCCTCCACCCTTCCCTATTTACAAAGACTTTGTTTCCATTTTTTCCTTTTCTCATATTTTTTCTTTTCCCTTCTTTCCTTTCCCCTACCCCTCCCACATCCCCTACTCCTTTAGACCTTTTCTTCCTATTTCACATCATCAATTATACATTTTGATCCTTATTTACACTTTTAGTTTTTCACACCAGAGAAACTATTCAGTATTTACACATGTGTGTCCTATTTATTTCACTTAATAGTATGGCCTCAGTGTGCATCCATTTAGCTAGTTTCTTGTTCTCTGGTTTCTTGTTCTTTATGGCTGAGTAGTACTCTACTGTATAAAAAAAAAAAAAATCTTTCCAAGTTTTAGCTATTACACACTGTGCCGCTAAAAACATGGGTGCACATATATCGCTGTGCTATGATTCCTTTAATTCTTTTGTGAAGATAGCCAGCAGAGGAATAGCTGGATCAAATGGGATCTCTAATCCTAGTTTTTTTGTTTTTTTGTTTTTTTCTAATCCTAGTTTTCTGAGGTATCTCCAAATTGATTTCCACAGTGGTTGCACCAGTCTGCACTCACACCAACAATGGAAAACAGTTCCTTTTTCCCCACAACCCCTCCAGCATTTGTTATTATATGATTTTTTAAAAAGCTTATCAAACAAAAAATAGATGAGCACTTCCACTACCAAAACATAACTTGATTTAGTAAAGGACAAGCCAAAAATGCACACAATCACCAATTTTAAACATTTTCTGAGGTTCCTAACCCCTCAATTAAAATTCAGCTTTTAAAAACAGCAACGATGACAGGAAAAAAACATCTAAGAATGAAATGAATTAACTGAATAAGATCTTATGGAGAACATTGTGTATTGAAGGACATGAAGGTTGACTTCCAAAATAAATGTTTGTAATTTAAGTAAATGGAAGACTGAAAGATGACTATTTACCTTTAATATGCTTACAATTTAGTGTCATTTCAGTTACATTCCAAGAGTTTTTTGTTAAATATGGTTTGTTGAACTTAAAATTCACAAGCAAAACTTAAAGAGCCAACAATAACCAAGTCAAAGTACTAACTTGCTTTAAAACCTGTCAAAACTTATGAAGTCTGATGATTACAACAGGGTGCTGTTGTCAGGATACAAATTAGTAGAACAGGTTAGCAAGCCCAGAAATCCTCCAAACACTACTGGTACAAGACAGAAATCATTATAAATCACAGGGAAGGATGTACTTACTATTCACTGAACAGTTCCCAGGGCATTTGGTTACCCACATCTTGGCGTGGGAGGCAGAGATGAACCTACCATGAGAAACCCAGTTTTATTTAAGGGGTAATAGAGTTCCCAAATTCTCCTTTGGATTAAGGGGTAATATAATTCCTAAAACTAAGGACAAAGTCTTAACAGCA